ATATCTGTCATCAAACCTGCAGGGATTATGATATTCAACATGGGTGGTCGTCCTGGGCAAGGTGTCTGTAGACGCTTGTTTGAGCGGCGAGGAGTCCGTGTTACACAGATGTGGCAGACTAAAATACTTCAGGTAGGATTTTTATTTTCAAAAGTCTTAGAGATCATGCTTCACTTGACATGTGTTTTTACAGGCTGCAGATACCGATATCTCGGCATTAGTTGAAATTGAGAGGAGCAGCCCTCATCGTTTTGAGTTTTTTATGGGACTTTCTGGAGACCAACCAATTTGTGCTCGAACAGCATGGGCCTATGGGAAGGCTGGTGGACGAATCTCCCATGCTTTATCGGTTTATAGTTGTCAGATTCGCCAACCAAATCAGGTGGGTAGATAAAAAAAGCTTTCTTTTTGTTAATGTGTTTATCTTACCATGAACAACAAAGTAATCAATTAAGGTGGTTATGATTGACAGGTTAAGATAATCTTTGACTTCTTGAAAAATGGATTCCAAGAAATCAGTAATTCACTGGATTTATCTTTCGAAGATGAAACTGTTGCTGATGAGAAAATTCCATTCCTAGCCTATCTTGCTAGTGTCTTGAAAAGTAGCTCCTATTTCCCGTTTGAACCTCCAGCTGGCAGCAAAAGATTCTGCAGTCTAATTGCAGGCTTTATGAGGACATACCACCGTATTCCAATTAATCAGGATGTAAGACTATTCTCTGTTTATGTTTTTGACAGTTTTCTTATAGTTTCCAGGCCATACTTATTCGGACTGATAATGTATTTCCGATATAACTGATGATTCGGAACTTGGGGCCACTAAACATGTTTCAAAAGATATCATGGAACGTAAAAGTTTGGAAAACTTGAAACTTCTGGGCTCACAAAATTCCTAGCATTGTAATTCTTCTTTCATGCAGAAGCTTCTGGTCATATCTGAGTCTGCTTCTTTTTGTTTGCAAGAACATTGTCGTGTTTCCATCAAGGGCTGTGGCAATCGAGAGTGCATTTCGGTTATTCTCCCCTCGACTTGCGATTGTTGATGAGCATTTAACTCGACAACTTCCGAGGAGCTGGCTAACCTCTTTAGCCATTGAGGTAAAGTTGTTATATCTACATCTAGTAGTTGTACTTTATTTTGGAACAACCGAACAAAATGATGCAAATTCTGCTGTGTAAGCGCTTATGCCCAATGTGATGCTGTGTAAGGTGTTGCCTCGTGTTATGAGTGGGTATATCTTCCTAGCTGGAATGGACAGAAATAACTGTTACTGAAGTAGGTGCTAATTAACAAGTCTAGAAAGAACAAAATCATAAGTCATTGAATATAGAAGTGGGGAGCCAGTAGTTCGAGTATAGAGAGACGGAACTAGTAGTTAGATTCAAAAGAAAACTAGAATATCATAGATGGTGTAGAGAGTTATTCACCTACAAGTGAGATGCAAAAGCTCCTTGTTTAGGAGGATTTGTTTTGATTCGATATGAGACATGTGCTGCGAGAAAGAATAATAGTTGGTTCATATATTCTTCTACTAATATAAAGTTGGTATTGTAATAGATGAAAGTTTTGCAATAAGATATCATTTTACTTGATGTTGCTGTGAATTTATTGAAGGTCTCTCTGAAGTTAAGTGTGTGTTTTATTGATTTGTTATTTCTGTTTGTGATGTGGTTAACCGGGAACTTTTTAATTGTAGAACACTGGCATGGAGAAATCAGATGATCAAATCACAGTCATTGAATCCCCGCACCAATCTGATCTGATGATAGAACTCATTAAGAAACTAAAGCCACAGGTGGTGATTACTGGAATGGCTCCATTTGAGGTCATTACCAGTTCATCGTTTGTGCACCTGTTGGAAGTGACGAGAGAAATCGGATGTCGACTTTTCTTGGATATATCTGATCACTTTGAGTTGTCTAGCCTCCCTGCATCCAATGGGGTACTAAAATATCTCGCTGAAAATCAACTACCTTCTCATGTAGCAATTATCTGTGGTCTGGTAAAGAATAAGGTAAAGTTTTCGACCAACCACATTGGTGACGAGTATGCATTATGTTCTATCTCATTTAGTTGAAAACTAACTAACTCTGAGATCATTTCCTTAAAGCTCTTATAGTTGTGTCATGTACGTTCTACAGGTCTATTCAGATTTAGAAGTAGCCTTTGTCATTACAGAAGTGGATGCCATTGCTAAGGCCCTGTCCAAAACTGTGGAAGTCTTAGAAGGTCATACTGCTATTATCAGTCAATACTACTATGGTTGCCTTTTCCATGAGCTTTTGGCTTTCCAGCTTGCTGATCGCCATGCCCCGGCTGAGGTATGTAGTTTAATCTTGTCCTAACATACGTGTTAGATTATTTTTAATGGTAAGTTAAAAATTAATTGTTTTTTCCCATTGACTCTGACTTGCATAGTAGTATTTCCTTAAAAAAAAGAGGCCGGCTGAAAAAAGACATACGGTATTCTTGGAAAAGACATTTATTGATTTGTTTTCATGACACCCTAAACCTCATAATCCCGGACATATAGGAGTAACAAAAGAAAATCTAGATTAAGCTCGTTTGTGGAACAAAGTTAAAATTAATGTGTCTATCGTAAGGTTGGAAACTCTACTCAGTTTTCTATTATGTGGCTTGTAGAGGGAAAGTGAGAAGGCAAAGTCTGAAGAGATCATTGGATTTTCAAGCTCAGCAGTCTCGATTCTAAAAGATGCTGAGCTTTCAGTCACTGAGATTGACGAAACTTCTCTAATCCACATGGATGTGGATCAAAGTTTCTTGCCAATTCCACAATCTGTTAAGGCTGCAATCTTTGAAAGTTTTGTGAGGCAGAACATATCTGAAGCGGAAGTTGATATCAACCCAAGTATTAAGCAGTTTGTGTGGAGTAATTATGGGTTTCCAACCAAAAGCAGCACAGGCTTTGTATATGCTGATGGCTCACTAGCACTATTCAATAAGCTGGTCATTTGCTGTACTCAAGAAGGTGGAACACTCTGTTTACCTGCTGGCACAAATGGGAATTATGTTGCTGCTGCCAAATTTTTAAAAGCTAATGTTGTGAATATCCCTACTGAGTCTAGTGATGGCTTTAAGCTGACGGAAAAGACTTTAACGAATGCACTCGAGACTGTGAAGAAGCCATGGGTTTGTATATCTGGACCAACAGTTAGCCCTACAGGCTTGGTGTACAGCAATGAGGAGATGGATATACTATTGTCTACTTGTGCTAAGTTTGGAGCAAAGGTCATCATCGATACTTCATTCTCGGGATTAGAATACAGTGCAACTAGCTGGGATTTGAAGAACGCTTTGTCGAAATTGGATTCATCCTTGTCAGTTTCGCTGCTTGGATGTCTCTCTTTGAATTTGCTCAGTGGAGCTATTAAACTTGGGTTTCTAGTTTTGGATCAGTCTCTCATCGATGCCTTCCATACCCTCCCAGGCCTGAGCAAACCGCACAGTACTGTGAAATATGCCGCTAAGAAAATGTTGGCTCTGAAAGAAGAGAAAGCAAGTGACTTTCTGGATGCCGTTTCTGAAACCATTAAAACGTTGGAGGGCAGATCTAAGCGCTTAAAAGAGGTACTCATTTCTGCCTATACTCCCTTTTGCACTATCATCAGAACTCAGATTTTCTTTAGATTGTTTGCAAATAACAAATGAAAATTTCAAATGGTTAATTAAAGCTGTGGGTTCATTTGGAAAAATGAACATTAAACCTAAAAGTAAACAAACAAAAGGCTTTAGTGGTACTGCTCAGGTCTTTTTGAATCTCATGTGGTTAACAAATAACAATAGTGCAGCAGAGTAAATGTTGATCGCATATCGCATAACATCAGTGGTACATCTCAGGTCTTTTTGAATCTCATGTGGTTAACAATAATGCAGCAGAGGTGTAAATTTTGATAGCATAATCGCATGATGTTAGGTCGTTGATCTTCCTCTTTGAAATATTGGAAACAGGTACTAGAGAACTCTGGGTGGGAGGTTATCCAACCTTCAGCTGGAATCTCAATGGTGGCAAAGCCAAAAGCTTATCTCAACAAAACAGTAAAGCTGAAAGCAGGAGAAGGACAGGAAGTCGTCGAGCTTACGGATTCAAATATGAGGGACGTGTTCCTCAGCCATACCGGTGTTTGCTTAAACAGCGGTTCCTGGACCGGAATTCCTGGTTACTGCCGCTTTTCATTTGCATTGGAGGATAGTGAGTTCGACAAGGCTATTGAATTAATAGCACAGTTTAAAAGCGTCCTTGCTAATTGAAACGTGCCACTTTCATTTACGGTGTCATCAACTTGAACTAAAGGGCATTGTGCATTGCTGGTTCTGAGACTTAACACGTCGCTCTACTTCTGCGTTTCCTTGTTCTGTTGTTTCTAATAATTTGCGTTTCTTGGTCAGCTCTATAACGGGTTTCCCTTTTCAAAGTGTGATCTTTTCATGCTAATAAAGGACTTACGAGGGACTCTGTTCGCAAACGGTCATAACAATGACTTTCTTTGTCTATTTTAATGTGAATAAGTCTCTTTGTTTCTATGATGTTTTCTTTATGTCCGATCTTGGGCTATCTCTATGATGTTTGACTTTAGTCTGCTGTATCTGGATCTGAATTTTGGAGAAATTAGCGTGTCCGGGCTAACGTAATCTTTAAAAAAAAAAAAAAAGTATGTATTAAAAATATTGAGAAACTCACTTATACGATTCACAAGCCTCTCAAAAGAACTTAGTTAATAATTATACAGGCTATTGCTGATGTCAAAATGGATCCAAAGTTAATGGGTCTTGATACTTCTACGGTAGAAGTTCTACCAATGAGATTCGTGTTTCTTACATTCTAGATCTGTAATTTTATGTTTTGTGAACCCAAGTTTTCTGTGTATAGTGTGAGAAAGAAAAAAACAAGAACCTGTGTAACAATTATGATGTGAGAAGTGGTACACAAAGAAGATTCATCTGTTAAATTACACCAGTGGCATTCTCACAATTTACAAATGCTACATATTTTCTATTTTTTACAGCATGGTTAATAAAACGTGTACCAACCAAAACCTGTTTTTTCTACATGAAACCAAAACAGCAAAATTTAGAGTGTGACAGGGAAATAACTATAAAAGCCGATTCAGGTCGATGACCAGCCTCACCAAGCGATGTATGCCTACTCCTCCTCCTTCATATGACATAACCTAGCCCGGCCAGGATTAAGCAGAGATTCTGACATTCTCCAACCCTAACAAAATGGAATTTTCAGATGCAGACTCGGTAAAAAAAAAACTTAAAAGGATACAACAGGTTTCTACAAAGTTACCTGTTCTGCAGCCCTGCTCTTGAAGATGGCATATGATGTGGAAACCATTTCACACGACTCAGCAATACGAGACTCGAGTTCATATTCCGTAGGAGCAAAAGCTGGATCTAATTGCTCCACCGATCTTGGGGTACCATCTTTTGATTGATTCATAAAATGAAGAAGCACATGTGCCTGTGATATCATCATGCAACCAAATGAGAAAATTTAGGCCTTAATTACTTCGTCTCCACAGAATAGAGATTAAACAGATGCAAAATCATCCTACATGAAATGCCGCTTTGAGAATGTCATCTGAGTTAGCCTGATGCTTGAGCAGTGCATAGACTTTAGCCTTGGTAGGACTGTATGTCACCATGTATCTTTCTTTCTGCCATTAGTAGAGAGAATAAAATCAATTGCCAAGATAAAGCGGTCAATGCTTGATATTTGACATTAAGGAAAAAAACGCATACATCGAAAAAAGGCTTTACAGCCATATATGTGCTGGGGTCTTGGAATGCATCCTTAAATCTGGCTCCTATCAAATTGTATGAAAATCCAAATCAGTAAGGTTAATGGAAAAACGAACATAACTTCTACGGAATGCTAGATAACACATACCAAGCATCACTGGCCGATCATCCACCCATGGAAAAGTGAATATCTTTTCTTGGATATTACCTTCCTGCAGTGAGGGAACCCGCCCTGCAGATAGATGGAAAGTTCAATCTGTGAAGTTTGAATATGACTAACCTCAGAAAGGTTGCCCAAAAAGGGGTGGGAAATCAGAGCTCTAGGAGCACACTCAAGTGGATGCTAGCAAAGTGACATAGCTTACCCGTCTTAAGAAAGGACTCCACTGCTACTGTAAATCTCGCACGGTTTAGTGTATGCAGTACTACAGATCTAACCTGAAAGGGACGCAGCCGCGTTTTTTGAGCAAAAATTCCAGAAAACCCCAAGTGCATTAAAACAGATATACTTGAAACAGAGCTGGATTCTACCTCTTGGTACGAGCTCATGAGATAGCCACATGATAGAAGACCAAATGTTGTGACCAACGAAGGATTTCTTTTGGATATCAGGATGCTAAACCCAGTTCCCATCTTCATATAGAATATAATCATAACAAATGAAAATTTTAGAGCTCAAAAAGAGATCAATAACCTACCTCCCAAAAAACATGTTAAGCACTTAATAACATCAAACAGAATCTATTTTGCGACCCTCAAGAAATAAGTAGCAATGTAGCCTCTTAAAGTCCAACTTTAATTCCGCTTGACAGATTAAACCAACAAAACAACCAAGAAACAATGAAAAAGGTCATACCAGGTCTGCAATATTACCAACACACTCTCCTTTAGCAGTGACATCTCCTATGTTTTCTCCTTTAGCAAAGGCTTTATAGATCGGTGTACGAGTAGACGTTGATGTTACAGCTGCAACATTCTGTGATAAAACAATGCAAGATACAAACAAATAATTGATACAAAAAAAAATCGAAGACCAACAAAAACATTGAAAACTAATAGCAATTATGAGTGTTAAAAATCGAAGACAATACCTTAACAACATTAGCAGCACAAGCTAGTGGAAGAAAAAGGTGTGGAACTGCAGCCGTCGCCAACTCTACCCCAGCACCCAGCTCCATTAAAAGATCACCAGCAAACCGTAACTGCAAGCCAAAGTGAGTTAAAAGGTGAGAGAGAGAGAGAGAGAGTGTCAACCATCACAGTTGTTAAGTTATCAAATAAGTACCTGTTTCAAATCATAATCAAATTTCTTTCCCTGCCTCGCAAAAAGCATTTTTCCAACACGCCCAGCACCATCCTGCAAGAATTATATGATCTTCAACAATGAGTAAGTTATGTCATGAGCGGATTAATATTCTTCTGCAACACTTTAGGTGTAACGTAATGAAAGAAACACATGCATGAAAGGAACTACGAGAAAGTAAACCTTGAGAATCCAATTGATGGCAACAGCAGCAGAAGCAGAACTATTTCTTGAAGCTCCAACAGAATTAAGAAGAGTTTGAGTAGTAAACACACCCATAGCTCCACCAAAGAAATGCTACAACATTACACAGTCAAAAAGATCAATCAAATTACACTGAATTCTAATTAAAAAAACTAAGAATAAAAAAAAAGAGTCATACTTTCAAAGCTCTCCAAGTCATATAGGGAACATAAGACTCATTAACACTCCCAGGAAAGCCTTCAGGTACAACGTAAGATCTAAGAAACGAACCCACTTCCTGCAAAAATTGAATACATTTCACATAATTGGGAAATTCAAAAAGCTTAAACCAAGAACTAGATCAAATCCATGGAACCTGGCGTACATCAAAAGGAGTCTGAGGAGACTCCAAGCTAATAGCACGAACTGAATTCTTTTTGAATCTCCCAGAACCATCGCTCTCAGCGACATACTTAAATCGACGGCCATCGATTTCTTCGCAACAGATCAATCTAAGAGTTGAATGAAGAAATTGGGAATCAGGAGATGGAGGAGAGTGGGGAGGGAGATCATCAACGGGAGGAGAAGCGAGAGAGGCGCTGATGCGGAGAGTTTCGCGAGAAAGGAGACGGACGGAGTCGGAGGAGGAAGAGGAAATGGTGTCAGATGGAGAATGATGTTTGAGCTTGACGCTTGGCATTGTTGTTGTTGCGAATCTTGTGAAGGGATTTTAATGGAGTCTCTCCGGCGGAGGAAACGAGGGAAGCTCTGAAGAAGAAGAAGAAGAAGAAGAAGAAGAAGCGAAATCAGTTGTTCCACTTGTTTCACAAACAAATTCACCTGCAAAATATCAATAATAATTTATTATTATATTTATCTCTTTTTCTTAGTCCCAGAGTATGTAAATTTGTTTTTTTCGCTAAAAGTCTAATATTACTCCTTCTGTTACAAATTATAAGATGTTTTAAAAAACTTTTTTTTGTTTCAAAATATAAAAAAATTTACAATTTTTAATGCACATATTAAATGTAATTAATATTTTTGACTATTTATATTCTGCAGTCTCTTTTGTAATTAGTTAAATTTTTAAAAATTAAATATTAAATGATAGTTTTAAAAAGAAAAGCAATTTTCTTAAACTACGTGCTTTTAATTAAAACATCATATATTTTGAAACAGAAGGAGTATATCACAAGGAAACCAGTTCAGACTTCAGACCCTAGAGTGTGTAAATATAATTTTTTAAAAAAAAAATCTTATCATATTTTAAAAATTTAAGCTACTTTATAAATTTAAGTTATTTCTTTGTTCCTACCAAAAAAAATATAAGTTATTTTTTATTTAATAAAGTAAATGTTTGTGTTACGCACTCTGATAATTCTAATTTTTAAAATAAATTTAATTTTTTGCAATTAGGCAACTTTTGTTTAAAAAAAAATTCTCGACATTCTTTCATTTTTTTGTTAATTAAATATCAGATTCAGCTCATAACACGTAACTGGTAAGTAAGCTGAAATCAAAATCTTCGGTAATGTTGTCTGCTTGTGCCTCCTCCCACGTGACTAGAGACTACTATCACATGAAATTGTCAATTGGAAAAGTCATTACCTAAAATCTACCATAGAGCTATCAACATCATATCTTCCTTGCCTTATGTTTGATACATTCCGAGTATCGCCACCTACTTTTGCTTGTGATGTCAAAACATGAATCTCAAACATGTATAGGCAAAGGAGGTGTTTGCATCAATGAACGAGCAATTGGCCAGGGATGAGTCTAGCATCTCTAAGCCTCACTGATACCAAAACAAAAAAGAAAATCTCTAAGGCTCATTCGCGAATCATTATCTCGTAGCGTAGTGTGGCCACATTACCAAGCGTTTTAGGGTCCAAGTGGTAGGTAACCTTACCCATTGTTCAAACTTTTGTACAGCCCAGGCCAAGATCCGACCCACCGTACCAAGAATTAGACTAGGAGTTTACACTACACGATTTACTTAAAAACTAATTTTACACCTTTAACTACATGGTTAGCCTTAGCTAAATTACTTAAAACAGATTGAAGCAGAAAAGACAAAGAAAGAAACTTAGGATATCTCATTTAACTTTGCTACATCAGATCCAATACCAAAAGAGAAAGAGAGTGTAGCATATGGAAGAAAGAATGTATCCATTGAGAAAGAGAGGATCAATAAAAGAAAACAAATATATCAACTCAACCACATTTACACAACCCCCAAAATCATCTCATCAACAATTCGAGACTCTACAAAATACAAGGCTTTTGGAAAAGCAGAGCTGAGAAGAGAAGGTCAAAGTTATTAACCACTCACCTTCTTTACAAATGTAAGATGGGTTTTGGTTCAATAGCTGCCATGAGATCTTGCTGATGAAACAGACTGTGCTGACACTGAAGCAGTTGGACTGTGGACATCCCCGTTGTTGCCCTTTGTCTTTCCACTCAATCTTTCCATCGCATCCACACATATGTCGTTGAACCAATCATCTTCTGGCAGCTCACTGCACATCATTCACAACCACATTTAATAATTTATATTATAACCAGAAAGGCTATTAACATTGCAAAATACCATCCAAAACCGACATACCTATATGGATCCATCCCAGTTGCAGTGAAAGCTGCTAAGGCTTTAGATATTATCTCATTAGTGCCCCTGTGCAAATTCCTTGATAGGTAGCGCCCTTGGGATGCAAAGCATATGACAAACTTCATGTCCAAATACAGCTGTGACAGATGCAGGTTGTTAACAAAGTTACACATCAATTTCGATGCTCGCAGAATCTTATACAGAAGCAAGAATGAGTTTACAAACCTGCCGTAGGCCAAGAGGTCCCAAAGGTCTAGGACCTTCCTCAATGTCATCCCAAAAGCTCTGGTCTCCGGAAAGCCATAAGATCACAGTCTCTGTTAATCGCATCAACAACGATGTGGCAAATCTTTCTCTTCCTACAAACATATCTGCTGCTAGACCGGCCATCCTGTTAAGTTTGGCAAAAAGTTCCTGTTTTCCAGCGATGCAACACCCAAAGTATAAGAATATTAAGCTAAAAAAAACAAAGAAAAAAATCATGTTCTTGAAGTGGTCAGATAGACTATGACAAAACATGGATTCAACTCGACAATATTGAACCGGCCAAATAAGAGTTCCACAGTGACTACAAATCTGGGTGCAGTACTTTATAAAGACTGATGGAAATGAAACAACAACTACCTGGAATATCAGAGATGGAAAGCAGTCCACATCTTCGTCATTTCCATCTATGTTTATGTACATATCCGCAGTCAGATGGCTATCTCCTTCCTCGGTAAAAATGAGATCCAAGGCATGCTGGCGACAAAACGCATCTTTTAACTTGTCAACAGTACTAAGTAAACGCCTCTTCCATTCTCGTTGTTCAGGATTACGATTTTGTCTGTCCAAAGGTCTTCTTAGGTCGTCTGTCCTCTGACCACTCTGATCAAGAGAGAGTTTCATGGCAGCACGTGGAAGTAATTCATCCGCTAGCAATGATGCATTTGCGAGTAATGCAAGTTGATTTGCCTCAGTCTCAGCTATTTGGACAATCTTATTACACGAACCTTCAAAATTTGCATCTTCTTCTTCTGAACCAGGAAGTGCTCTTATCAGCACATCTACATATGAGTTAAACACACGAAACAGACCTTCCAGAGCTTTACTTCCCAATTGCATACTCAGAAGAGGTCCTACGTCCTCAAAGAAGTCCTGCAACAAAATACCATTATCAAAAGGATCAACTTGACAAATATATTCAAAATTCATGACAATCCACTAGGGAATTCTCTGCCTATCAGAGTAGCTAAGACAGAATTGGTACTGCATAGAGTTTATGAATAATTTTTCAGTGGGAAATGGGAATGCGAGTGCAGTTTGGGACTCTAGTGCAAGTTCTAATCAATCGTCATCAACAATGGCTAGTCAATTTTGCAGCTGATGTGTAAACTCATAATGTAAGCAATTTTCATGGGATACTGGCATATCTAAGAGTGACACACCACACCAGAGGTCTAAGAGTGAAAAAAATTCATTTTTCTAGTATGTCTACATTTCCTAAGAACTTTATTTTTTCTAGCACAACTTTAAAACAAAGGCTGAAATTTTCAGAGAAAAGTGTTTGTCAAGATTGCCTACCTGGACCATGAGATTAAAGCGGTGGGCACTGGATGTAAGCTTATTCTGAAATGCTGTACTAGCATGACGACTACCAGCAGGAGGACATGTCAACACCCAATCATCTGCAGCAGCCATAGCTGCAGTGTTTTCTTCAATTCGCTTCAGATTTGCCTCCAATGCCTGTTCCACGATAGGCTTAAAGTGCCGTAAAAGCACTGGGCAGAGGGACAAACCACGAGCTTCCAACAAAGAACAATGCCCAAGAGCTATCTGTGCACACTCTGCAGCGGCTCTTAGTCCTCCCGCTGCTGCAGAAGAAGCTAATGCATGCCTTTTAACAAGAAGGGAAAACGCCTCCGTTTGCTTAGTAGCCCAAGTCACGAGCTCAGAACTATATGCTGGCTCTTTCCCAAAGATTCCCAATGAATCACTAGAAGCTTGAGAGATAGCTGAAAACACAAGCTGAGAAAGTGCAGCAGTGTACGCCCCTCCATATGAGGTGCTAGAAGGACGAAGACTTTGCATGTTGTATTGATATCTCTGGAAATGGGCATCAAGAAGTACAGTATGGGCTCGAGGACCATCGCCAAGCCTTTTGAGAGCTGCTATTGCTGACCGAAGTTCCCCACCTCGAGTTGAAGGTTGACAAGCAGCTTTGGCAAGTTGGTCAGCCAATTTTTGCTTGCGTTCGGCAACAGCAAACTGAAGAGAAGAAAGTACAGAAGAGCTTAAAGTGTGCTTTTCGTTTGCTTGAGACATTAAAATTTCTCCCTCATCAAAAGCTGCCAGAGCTTCATCTACCCTTCTTTCAGCTAATAAAGTATCAAGGTGGTCAGGAAATTCCGTAGCCCATTTCTCCAGATCAGAGAGGCCGTTGTCCTCAAACTTCAATAAACCATTTGCAAGAGATTCATCAGAAACTTTATCGTCATCAATGTTAACTCCATCTGCTAAGCCATGAATTAGAGTGGCCTGAGTGGAGAGAAGATTTCTGATAGATGATAGCTCCCCCTCCAGATCTGATATCTCTTTTGATGTGCTGCAGAGAACAGAATATTATTTAATGCTTAAATTAACACACCGCTAACGAAAAACAATAAGGTGTTGCCAGAAAAAATAAGTCATAAGCAAAATGCACATGCACCATAACCCATAAGAAATGAAATAACGTATGAAAAAGTAAAGCTCTTTTGATCACATCAACTTCAAAGAAAATAACCAAGCACTAAAAACAGTCAGGTTATCAACTAACCGTATAAAGGCTGGATAATTAGCATAAACACTTCGCCGCATTTCTTCAGCAGAAGCTCTCTTCAAATCCAATAGATATGAGCATAACTGCTTTATATCCTGTGAACAGAACAGAAATATGTCATCATCCCAATATAACTGAGCAAAAAAACAAAAAAAAAGAGTCCAGCCAAGTAATCCAACAATCTCTGTTAACAAAATCAAATACTACTCTCTTTGTAGTAAATTAGACAAGGCCTAAACCAACTTTTCCCTCAGCTCTGTCACACCATCACAGAAAGGGACTAAACAGACGAGACACCCTCTATGCCCATTAAAATGATCGAATTGAATCTTTTCTATAAGAGCAAACGATCGTAACAGATTCTGTCTCTGATAGAAGACATAGTCATTCGTGCAAATTCACATGAGCTACATTCTGTATTACACTGACCATCATTTGGCAAGCGAAAAGCTTATAAAATGGGTACTAAACCTATCAGCATTTCTTAAGAGTAACAGTTTTACATAATGATAATTCACAAACTGCCTTCAAATTCCAGTAGATCACAAGAACATCCATACAAGAAATGAGTATACTACATAGATCATCATCTCCTCGAGCTAACACAATCTGCAACCTAATATCCATTATACATTACGATTTACTAAAACAATCACCAACTGCAACAAAACATGAATACTGCAACATAATCACAAATCTACGAAGAAGTCCCCACAGACTCAGACCTAGAAAATTCTCATTAGTGATAACAGCAGATCAAAGAAAAACCAACACGAAATGATTAAAGAGAAAAACCTTCTCGTTGATAGAACATTTGGATTGCACATAAGCATCAGCATCGAACTTATCAGACTTGAATAGACTCAAGCCTTCCTCGACTCTGGCACCATTTTCTTTCGTCGGTGTTGCTTTTGATCTGGCCGTCTTCGCCGCCATCGTTAAACTTCTCAGAGAAAACCTAAAATTTCACAGCGGTACCAGATCAGCAATCCCAGTGATGCCGGAATGTTACCGGAGAATTAAAGCACAGATCTGAGGAAGCTCCTAGAGAGGAGAGCAGAGGATTGATAAAATTGAGAAAGTGGCGGTGGGTAGAAGATGATGATCGAGTTGGTAACCAGAGCGATTTAGCCAACGACGGAAGCTTGGCTTTTTCGTCTGTTAAAAGTTAAAACAAAGAATTTTCTTCTTGAAAATTAATTATTAAAAAAATAAATACATAAATAACTCTGACTGTTTTGATGATTAACTAAAAGCAATTTAGATAACTTTCTCTCTCTTCTCTCTCGATCCTTCAGAGAGAGAAAGTTTTCTTCTTCTCCGGCAACGACCAGCTTTCTCAGTGGTGTTGGCTGGCTTTTCTTCCAGCATCGATGGTTTCATCACCGTCGTTGGCTGGCTCCTTTCCGGCAGCTTTCGGCTTTTAAAGCGAGGTTGGCTGGCTTAACTCCGGCGTTATCGGCTTCCATAGCGAAATCGGTCGGCTCTATGTTTAGCGTTACCACCGTCTAATGGGTTTTTCTTTTTTTTTGGTTTCGGATCTGTCAAAAAACAAAGACACAATCCGATTGATCGGAGTACTGCCTTTGATTGATGGACATCGTCTGGTTTTTTGGATTCGAATCCGTTTAACGAAAGCAAGCCTATGCATAAATTCCTTTCTATGAAGATTGTAAAGTTGTTGTTTGAAGATGAAGATGAAGAAGATTTGTAGATTTGCTTTAAGTGAAGTCATATTCTCATCAAAACTTAAATTGGAATTTCGCTTCTATTTCTCTCGGCGAAGATTGAGATCTGATGCAAGAATTGAGCAAATTTTCCGGCGATTTTGATCGGAATTGAAGTTTTCCGGCATCACAACACTCTGCGGGTGATCGGAGACTTCCACCTCTTCAACTTCCCACGTGTCATCCAATCTGTTTCCCATTTGCCACGTGCTCTATGTGCTGTATACGACACTTTTTCTTCAGTCTAAGGTTAAGCAAGGTTTGTGAAATAAGTTTCTGGAGCAGATAAGCGTTTACCTTTTGATTTTGTTCTAGAAATAATGGCTGACACTTCTATTAGCCATATATTTCTAATGAAGCTGAAGATCAAATGAAGACTAAGTTTGCATCACTTCTTCTGGTTACAATTAGTTATTGTCATGTGATAATTTCTTCTTGTAATCGTTGTTAGTTTATGCTTTTGATCAACTGAACCTTTTTAATCATGTTTTAGTCTGTAATATGTCTGGTTGTAATGGCTCTCATACTGGTTTTGATACTGGCTACTGATATAAAACAGACACTCTTGCAACAAAAAAAAAAAAATAACTCTGACTGTTTGACTAGTAACAAATTACGGCATAGACGCATAGTTAGATAAAAATCACTATTTCAAGAAAATTTAGCCAAAAATGATTTTTTTTTAATTTTCTTATGGTATTAGAGTTCGAATTTTGACAAGTAATATGGCATTAATAGAGTTTATTTTTAATTTTAAAATAGATTTTTTGTAAAAATTGACCGATAAAAATTATTATTTCGAAAGAGTGTATATTTCCTCGCTGCTAATGTTATCCGAATCCAAATTGCGTTTGATCTTTACGTCGATTCTGTTGACAACGACAATATCGTAATTGTCAAAAGGAGATACGCACTCTACGATGGACAACCAGCCAAAACCTCCATTCATTACCTTCGTATCTCATGAACAGAATTGGTTCACCATGTTCCGGGACACATGACTTGATGTGAAAGTCTTTTATACCCACTTCTATTCTCTCTTTTGATGTCTAGTGTAGTGGTTTTAGTTTTATAGTAAACTCTTAATTTGAAGAACAACGATAATGAATCAATTTGAATGTCTAGATTTTGCAAAACAAAAAAGAAAGGAAAACAATTTTTTTGGTTAATTCGATAATAGACATGGCAAATCCAACTTTCTGTAATCAGAACCGGCTTTTGGGCCAAGTATTAGCTTGCGGCCGTTAATAATAAAATTTAATTTCGGCCGATTTTCAATCAATGTTCTTTTAATTTAGCGGTTTAACTATACTTACAAAATCATCACTTTTCGGTTTTGAACCGCATGTACTGCAGAAAGAAACCTACTATAGTAGCATGAACCCACTCATGATCCTTAACTCAGCTTGTAACACATCCATCTTAGCAGCCTCAAATCTTGTTACGTTTCTATGGCGGATATGTACAATATCTTTTTACTTGTTTAAGCTCAATCACTCAATTAAATGAACATGGAGTAGACAACATGCAAAAGAAAACAACACAAGATTTGTTTACCCAATTCAGTAAAATAAGGGTGATCAAGCCTACATCTAGAACTAGAATCGATCGGGCAATCTACTATGATGAATCAAAGTTTAATCAAAGTTTGCTCAGAACTCTTTATCAAGAATCGAGCTGAGCAACAAGAAGAAGAAAGTATCCAATACAATAGAGTAATTAAGTAGAAGAATTAGTCTTTTACATGCTTAGTTACAAAAACAACTAACCCTCGAACCAAAACCGACGCCGGTTTACGAAATGCTTACTTAAGATTGCCGTTAATGTGAATCTGAGCCAAAAACCTTTGAAGAATCATCATCATCGAGACACAGAGAGAGATGTTTTGTAGCTTATCCATTTCCAGATTTGTCTCGAGGAAGACAATAACATCATCTCTTCTCTCTCGCAATTTCAGATTCATTCTCTCCGTTGATTCTCCTCCTCACACCCCTCTTCTACGCCCTTCTTCCAACACCCTAATCCCTTCCTCCTCCTTCTCTCGCCGTATTTGGGACTCCTGCAGCGGCGGTGGCGGTGGCGGCGGAGACGATTATGACCACATCAGAAGTGACGTCAATTGCCCTCGTTGCTCTGCTCAGATGCACGTCATCTTCTCAAATCGTCCATTGTCTCTCACAGCAAGAGAACCAGGGATCTATCAAGCTGTTAATTGCTGTTCTCAATGCAAAACAGCTTTTTACTTTAGACCATTCAAGCTCTCTCCTTTACAAGGGAGTTTTATTGAACTAGGGAAGGTTAAAGGAACTGATGATGACCATGATGATGATGATGATGATCAGAAATCTTTCCCTAGGAATTGGAAAATTCAAGGTCTTAGAAACGATGAAGATGGTGAGGATGCTGATGAGGAGGAGGATGAAACTAATGGCGGTGATAAAGAGAAGCAATCTGTGATTAAGCTTCCAACGCCTAAGGAAATTTGTCAAGGGCTTGATGAGTTTGTCATTGGTCAAGAAAAGGCGAAGAAGGTTTGGTCCTGTCATAGCTTCTTTTTCTTCTTTTTCTAAATTAGATTCTTGTTTACATATCTTTCCTTTTGTGCAGGTGCTTTCTGTGGCTGTTTATAATCATTACAAAAGAATATATCATGCTTCTCGGAAAAAAGGGTTTGTCTTCTTCTATGCCCCTTATCATTCTGATACTCTATATGGGTCACAATAAAGTTCAATCCTTTTGCTCTTTTTTGAATTCCAGGTCTAATAACCTTGATATAGAGGATGATAATATTGATCATGTGGAGTTGGATAAGAGCAATGTGTTGTTGCTTGGTCCCACTGGTTCAGGTGCGTATTGTTGCTTGCCATAGTGTTCTTGAAAGTATATAGAGCTATTGTTTAGTATGATAATGATCTTGGCCTTTATGTTTCTTGCTTGGTTATAAGAACAGGAAAGACTTTACTGGCAAAAACTTTAGCGCGTATTGTCAATGTGCCATTCGCCATTGCTGATGCCACTTCACTAACTCAGGCAAGTTGTTTCACTGATCCTCATAAGGTTTGGTAATTGAAAATGATAAATAGTTACCCAGAACATTAGCATTAGGGCCACTAGGATGTCTTTACAATCCCTCATTTGGAAAAATATTTTGATTGATGAAGTGACATTTTTCTAGCTTTTTAGAGGAATCCTTACTCAAGTCTTGCTCTTAGCATAACTAAACTACTCTTCTTGTCCAGGCAGGTTATGTTGGTGAAGATGTGGAATCAATTTTGTACAAACTATATGTGGTATGGCTTGCTATCACCTCATATTATGTCTCTGGTTTCACCATACCTTCTTTTGGAAGATAATCTTAACAACTGCTTACTAATTAGTTTTCCGCTGACTACTTCTGAAATTACAAATGTACTTTGTTCCTGTCTTTATAACAGTTCAGAAAATATTTTTCTCCTTGATCCACTATTTTAGTATCCGGATAATCTTGTTGTTTGCAGTATTCATGTTAATTTATTTCCTAGATGCTAATTAGCAACCTCTTTACTTTGTTACTGCAGGAAGCTGGGTGCAATGTAGAAGAAGCTCAAAGGGGAATTGTGTACATTGATGAAGTTGATAAGATGACTATGAAGGTCTGAGTTTTCTTCACTCTTTAATTTTGATTCTTAATTGGTTGATACTCAATACTTAGCAACATATTTTTCTCTGTCAGTCTCATAGCTCAAATGGTGGTAGAGATGTCTCTGGAGAAGGTGTCCAACAGTCATTGCTAAAATTGCTGGAAGGAACTGTAAGACTTTTCTACTTTAAATCTTTTAGTTTTTTTCAAAACTGCGTATATACATGTAAACTGTTGACAAAACACATGGTGTATTCCTTATTAAAAGCTAAAATATATTGTCAATAGTCTATGCTCGATGCCTTAGTAAAAAGCTAAAGACGTGCTCAGACATTATTGATTAAAAACAAAAGGTCGATACTCGATGCCTATATAATAGATTTAATCACCAAACAATATAGAAAATCAATATAATAGTGTGAGAATCTCATGATAACATTTGGAATTCTTGTTGATCAAAAATTCCACCTTATATTCAATAACATTTTTCAGGTGGTCAGTGTACCGATTCCTGAAAAAGGATTACGGAGAGATCCTCGAGGAGATAGCATTCAGGTAATGCATGAAAAATCTCCTGCTTTCAGTTTTTTTTGTTTGTTTCCGAGTATCTCAGAAAGCACTTTTGTGACATAGTCCGTCAAAATACCCCAGTTCATGAAAAAGCTGAACGTTTTGGCGAAAAACCTAACATGCAGATGGATACGAAAGACATCCTTTTTATTTGTGGTGGAGCATTTATCGATCTGGAGAAAACTGTTTCCGAAAGGTATATTTCTCAAGTCATACAGATTAGGAAAAGTTAATTTATCCTCTGTGCTATAGGGCTTATATCGCATATACATATATTTCTCTTAACCAGGCAACATGATGCCTCTATTGGTTTTGGTGCTTCCGTTCGTACAAACATGAGTACTTCTGGGTTCAGTAGTGCTGCAGTTACATCCTCCTTGTTGGAATCTGTAAGGAATACATTCTTACATCTCTCATTATATTGTATGCTAGATTATTTACTGTCAAACTGATGCAACTTAGTTGTTGTCTGATAAAAAGAGCACTTGTAATTATTGTTAATTGGTTGTAGTTACAAAGTGAAGATCTTGTTGCGTATGGTCTCATTCCTGAGTTCGTTGGAAGGTTACCCATCTTAGTGAGCTTATCTGCATTAAATGAAGATCAACTTGTACAGGTAGCTTGATTCTACTTATTTTGTTAGTTGTTACTGTGCTTATGGAATGGTTTTCAAACATCTGTTGTCATTTAGTTTTCCCTTGATGCACAATAAGGAAAAGACACTAATGTTGCTTTAAAATTCACTCAATTTCTCGGCTGCCTATTGTTTATCTTTATCCCAATTCAGTAAGTGAGTGATAGCTGTATGAGATTGCATCCGGAGTTTTCTTCAAATCTCTTTATTTTAGGCAGCTTTCTCTGTTACAAGTTATAACTGCTTATTGTTCGTTATGCAGGTTCTTACAGAGCCTAAGAGTGCATTGGGTAAACAGTACAAGAAATTGTTTCGCATGAACAATGTAACGACACTTCCTACCACTCCATGTTTACTTACATTTGCCTCCTCCCTCTGCTATAACCCTCATTTCTGCGTTGATTATGTGTTAGGTCCAACTGCATTTTACTGAAGGAGCAACAAGGCTAATCGCGAGGAAGGCTATGTCGAAGAACACTGGTGCACGTGGCTTACGGTCTATACTGGAAAGTATCCTCACTGAAGCAATGTTTGAGGTATGAGGAATGAACCCTTTTAGTTTTGATACTTCAACGTAGATATTCGATTGCAATTGACTACGAATACCGTATTTATGTGTTTTAATGTTGAATATGAATCCTAAACAGATACCAGATAGCATCACGGAAGGATCACAGAGTATAAAGGCAGTTCTGGTGGATGAGGAGGCTGTTGGTTCAGTTGGAACCCCAGGATGTGGCGCAAAAATTCTTAAAGGAGATAATGTGTTGCAACAATATGTTGAAGAAACAGAGTCAAAGGTAAGTTTAGTGCAACTCGTGCTAAGTTGACACACCTTACCTTTTGCGAAAGCTTCAGAAATTGTTTGATGTTATAGGAGAAGAGAAAGGAGGATGAAGCTAAGAGAGCTCAGAGTATGTAGCCGAGCTGATGTTATGAGAGGTGTGAGTAATGTTAGATATATAGGGGCATGAATGATCTCAGTCAGCAAAGCTTAGTAGTTTCATTGTTCAGATTCACTAACAAAGAAAGAGATAAAAGAGTAAACAGTACTTTAATGGGGAGAGCACTCTCAAATGAGCTTGTTGGATAAGTTGTGAATAAAATATGCGAGTGTGAGGAATGCACTCTACATTGTACGAGTCTATGAGGGAGTCGATGAATAGTATGATGCTATTATATCTATTTTGTTACTTCTATTCGAGTGGTCATATCTATTTTCCTCCAATTATCAGCAGTAGTCAAGTTAAGATCATCTCCGATTCATAAAACATCTTTCTTTTTCGTGGAATCTGGAAAATGAATCTTGCTTCTGGAAATTACAACCTATTGAACACAGAGAAGTCACAACGAGCTTCACTCCAACTCCATACATTTTATTAAATAGAGGAATCACTCAAAAGTTCATAAGATTTAGAGAAAAAAAAACAGAGAATAAAAAGAGAGGAAATAAAAGCAGAGGAGAAACGAATCAAAGTTATTGAAAACAGAGGAGGATAATGTTTCGTTTTAAATCATATAAATAGGATCAGGAGTCGCTGATGGGGAGCACATGGACCCCAAGTTTATGAAGCATGGTACTTGATTTTCCATGGAAGCCAACGATCTTGTGACCTTCCTTGTGGAGCACGAAGGTTGGGTCATCATCGAGTCCATAACATGGAGAAGTTCGCTTGTTGGTGGTGAACATGAGCATAATTATAACTTCAAATTCTTCACTTCCAGGTACTACATCATAACTACCTTCAACTGATGTGAGGTATTCGCACGGATAGTCCAGGTCGAACTATAATTAAAAAAACAAGATAATCCAGAAGATTAACATGAAAGATCAGATAGAAATAAGCTTTTGTATAATTGGACAAGTAATTAATAAAAGTGAAGGAGTAGTAATCACCTCTTCATGTCGAAGTAGGTTCTTGTTCCCATGATGATCTCCCACTATTATCTCGTGAATGTCATTTTCATAAAGAAACTTGACTGAAACGATACCAACCTCACCAGTTCCAATGTATATCTTTCTAACACCTTCGAAATTACTGCCGTCATCCCAAGGAGCTCCTCCAGCACCACCTTGTGCTTCTAGCTTTTCCGCAGGAGGAAGAGGCATCGGATAATAATATGCACCAAGAGCCGCAATTACCCTCACCGTATAATAATACCATCCATGAAATCCGACAATGGCACAACCTTTGCTCTCGAGGACAAATTCAACTGAATCAGAAGTTTCGATTCCATATTTCTGAGACGTTCTCCCTTTTGATGTTTTGAAAGTCAATGACGAAACCGCGTAAGAATTCGTGGTCCCCACCACGGACGTGATAAATTCATTTGGAAAGTCAACAACAAACTGCAATATACAAAATAATCTACTCAACTACATATATGTATATTTCGTCGACGGATATTAGTTATATAAGTATTCTGACCTCTTCTTCTTGGCTATCAATGTTGATTCCATGGTTACGCTTTTCAACTTTGCCAGCGTTTTCATAGTTAATCCTGAGACACATAATATAACTACTTGCCCAAAAAACGGACACCTTTCTAATACCCTCAAAAGCACCATCATCCCAAATGGCGTTTCCAGTTCCAGTAATAATACCGTGGCATTCCGACTTTGTTGGAGTAAGCGGTGTGAAATATGCTCCAAGAGAGTTTAGATTCTTCTCAGCATATCCATGAAACCCAACAATCTTCATTCCACTTGATGCAAGTCTAAACTTCTTACCAGTGTTGGATCCCATAAGCTCTGAAGTCTTGATGTTAGTCTTGAATTGAAGTGCATGAATGACCCCACATTCATCATCACCTTCGTAGTAACCCTCAACAGACACCAAATATTCTTTGTCATGCATAATCTCAAACTGTAAAACAAAGATTACGTCTAATGTTTAATACTATACTCATGCAATTGAATAAACAGAATTTTAATTATGATTTCTCCATGACATGTATACATACCACGTGTGGGGAACCTCTTCTATAGATAGAACCATGCATTGGCCCACCTATCAGATGCCCATCCTTGTCAACATACTCAAACTTGATGAATTGTATGCCTTTTTGACCACTTCGTACATGTATCTTTGTAATACCGGCCTGGTTGACTCCAACATCCCACTTTGTGCCTTCCTTGCCTCCTATCGCTTCTATTCTAGTAGGAGTACTCCAAGTGAAGTATGCTCCTAGAGAGGACACCACCTTCCAATCATGAATTGATCCGTGAAACCCAATGATTTTTTTTCCCCCTACTGCTAGTATAAACTTGGTACATCCGTCATCATGATATCCAATCGGTTTAGAAAGCCGCAAGTTGGTTTTGAATTGCAGTGCTTGAATCCCTTTGTCCTCTGTGTAGTAGCCCTCAACAGATTCAAGATGTTCACTTTTTAGATGGTTAATCTCAAACTGCAAAATTTGGTGAAAAATGATCTACAAAATTTTCCACATGCAAGAAAGCGAAAAAGGAAGTCAAAAATTTCTAAAGGATAATCATATACCGTGTGCGTGTAAGTATTCCACGAATTACCATGGAAGGGTCCATCAATTGGTTTTCCACTTTTGACATAGTCGAAACAAATGGACTCTATGCCATTAGGAGAACAATTTACATATATTTTTGTTACATCATCATGGTCAGATTTGTCATCCCACATGTCGCCTTTCTTGCTCCCTTCCGCTTCCGATCTTTCGGTCATCTCGAACCAGTTTAATCTTCACATATGTATGGCAATCGTATGTGTTTCTTAGTCAGTAATATATAACCTTTCCAGCCAAGGATCAACACAAGTTCTAATTGAAGGAAGAAGATCAAGTTTTTTTTTTTTTTTTTTTTTGTAAAAAAGAAGCAGAGGCAACTATTATCTAATAAGTAACAATTTCTGATATTCGATGCTCTGCATTTTTAAGAACATGCTCATTACGTTTGTATAATTTAGATAAGATATTAAACTCTGAAAGACTGAAACATTGATGTAAATAAAAGCACCATAAAGAGAGAACTGACCTATGATAGTCGAGGAGAGAGAGACAGCTGATTGAACTGAGAGGCTATGTTGATCTATATAAGCAAAAGGATGAAGGTGGCTCTATTTATAGGCTTTTCAGAAAGACGAAAAAAGTCTTTTTCTTAATCGTTTTGCAATTATATTCTCCAGCTAAGAAAATGCAGAATTATACAAAAAAAAAATCAGATACAAGAAAATATTATCCTTTTATTTTAAACTAATATTGACAACTAATTAGTCATAAAGTTAAAATTTAAATCATTTGAAATCCTTGCAGGGTTAGAACCTAAAATTTTCTCATTCGTTGTGCTCCTTGTTTGAAAAATCGCTAGGCGCTAGTCGGGCGCTAGGTATGGGCCTAGCGATTAATCGGAAAATCGGAGATTAATCGGGGATTAGTTTTAGGATTATTTTAATATTTTTAAAACATATTAATCAAATATTATTTTCAAAATTGCAGTAAACACATAAAACTGTATTTTTGAGATAAATTTTTATGATTTTTATTACAAATTTATGATTTTTATTAAAATTTGAACATAAATTATTGTAAAACATCAGAAACTCCCAATTTAAATGATTGAATAACAAAAATAAAACGTTTTTTATACTTGCAATCTAAAAATAATCGAGATATGTAAAATTAGGCGGGGAGTAATCGGATTAGGCGGGAAGTAATCGGATTAGGCGGGAAGTAATCGGGTAACTGATTTTTTTAGGGGATTAGTCATTAATCGAGGCGGATAGGGTGGACCTAGCGATTAAGCGGGGAGTAATCGGACCTAGGCGGGGATTTTTAGAACAGGGGTTGTGCTACACGATATTGACAATTGATTTTTTATTTGTCGTGACATTTGTGTTGTATGTTTTCTTATTTGTTAAATAGTTTTTAATTATATAAAAATTAGAAGTAAAAAAACAAAAACAAAAACTAAAATAATTTTATGCCAAAACCTTAACATAACTTATATTGAAGTCATCTAAAAACTTTATATCTCCTTATAATATTAAATAAGTTACTTTTTTTTGAATAAAATGTTAAATTAAATTTAAAAGAAAAAATGGCGTTTGTACAACGTGTGCATCGTGAGTTTGAAGTGTTCTAATCTAGGAACCACGAATTATGCAACTAATTTCTAGAGCCGAACCAAAATTATAAGCCTTTGTCATATCTTCTATCCCCCGTGAGTTTAATTGTTGAGAGATGGTCCCTTATCTGCTTGTCTATCCAGCCAATAATTGTTGTTTCCATGTCTCTGTCCATTGCGCTCCCGCCAGATTGCGTAGACCGAGGTTTGGAAGACATACCGAGCGAAGATTGTTAGATAAGTTATTACATAACGTAGTGATACAAAAAAACAAAAAAAAAACAAATACAAAAAACAAAAAAAAAAAGACTACACAAAGTCTTCCCCACGAATATTGTTTTCGGGATTGTATATTCGATTCACGACCTAATTGAATCATTATATAAGTAAGACTTCTACTTCTGGTCATTAATATATTATATAGTCATTTTCAAAGTTTTCACGGAAACAAAAAAAACAAAAAAAACTATATATACGAAGTTTTCTCGGAAATATTGTATTTAGGATTGTAAATTCAACTCAGGATTAACAAAGGTAGACATTATGCAAATAATGGAACCCTACTTGCATTGTATTTAGTTAGTTTAATTTTGTCAACGCTTGCATGATGACATCTTGTATCAAATCAGGCTCATCCAGTGCATTTAATATGAAAAGATTAAAAAAAAATGAGAGAAATTAAGGCTCTTCTGACTTCTGAGTACAATTAATTAGCGTATACAATTTTGCAAATACGTGACAGCTACTACACGAATTTCATCTTTATCCACAAGTTTTGTACAAGTTTACTTGATCCACTGTTTAGACAGATTCTATTTCACATTTCATCTTAATAATCTTAGACCATGTACATAGCTGAATTTTTAAGGGTATCAGAAGCCCATAAACAATATATTAATGGGTAAAACAATTCATTTGGGCATGAACCGTATCACTGGAGTGATACTTCTGATACCCAGTCTCTAATGACGTGGCGGCTCGTGATTAGTCGGAAAAACGCGTTTTTGTGGGAAAGGAGAGAAAAAAGAAAAAATTTCATTCTTCGTTTTCGCGATTCTTCTTTCCTCCTCTGTCGGCGAATCGCCGATTCTTCCGTCTCTCATTCTTTATCATCGCCGGCGGATCTCCATAGTTCTCCGTGGAAGAAGAACATGCAGATGCTTCACCTCTGCGTGTCTGCTCGTCATCTGCCCCGTCGAGGTTCCGTAGATCTCCCTCGAAGAAGAGCTGTCAGTTGGAGATGGAGTGTTCTCTGTAGATTCAGACGACTATGAGTGAAGATAAGTTGATTACTGATTTCATTTTCTTATGTTTAGATCTAGGTTTAGGGTCTGGGTCGATTCAAGGGTTGGTTTGTGTTTAGGGTTTCGGGAAATTCGTTTGAGAAGGTTAAATTGGATTAGGGTTTGGATTAGGGTTAGGTTTTTGTTGGATTAGGGTTTGGTAATTGTTAATTTCGGTTTGAAATTGAAAAAATCTTTGCTTGATTTTTGTAATTTCTGGAAATTAAATTTCGTGGTGATGGATTGAAATGGTCCTTTTGGGATAATTACGGATTGCAATTGAGTAGAACTGTTTTTCATTATGATTAAGAACTATAATTTGTTATGCAAACGATGGATTTCTAAAAGTTTGTTTCGGATTTGATTTTAATTCTTTGTATTTGATGTAATAATTGAAACTGATTCTATTTTCTTCATGGTTTTGCAGATATGTCTGAGTAAGAGGATGGAAGTGGTGAGATTCTTAAATGATGAGAAGCTGCGGAGGTGAAATGTAATCTCCAAAATGGCATTATAAATTTTAATTTCTGTGTGTGTTGAAACTGAATTGAAACTTAATTGAATTCAATTGAATTGAATTGAGATTAGGAATAATTGAAACTGAATTGAAACTGAAACTTAATTGAATTCAATAGAATTGAATTGAGATTAGGAATAATTGAATTGACTAGAAACTGAACACTTGAATTTATTAGTGATTAGATAGATATGGTTGAGAATGCAGTTGTGTTTAAATGGAACAATGAATACAGATGAAGTATGAAGTGAATTTAATGTCATCTCTGTTAGAATATTTTTTCTGAGAATAGAGTCAGTTTAAATGTTTTTTGTGTCGTTGGTGATGAAACAAAGTGAATTAAAACAGAAATTAGGTTCTATTAAATGCAAACTGAACTTACAATTAAAGGGAAATAACATGATGATGAGAATGGTGCCATCTAGACTGAAGTTATGTTGATGGAAAGTGTCTCAGTGACTTAAACTGAATTATAATGACTCGTATTCAATAGAAATTAGGTTGATCTTTGTTGAGTGTTTGCCTTTATAATAAGTTTCTGAGAACTTAACAAACCACCTAAACTGAACTAAAACACAAAATGGCTTCCAACTTGAACTTTTCCTCTTCTCAGTCGTTTACCAATCTCTTGTTTAGCCAAGAAGATAACCCAACCCCTCTCAGTCCTTCACAGCCTCCTTTTTCTGAATCCCAAACACCCACAACCTTAGCTAGGGAACCTAGGGGAACCTAGAGTGAGATGGAGTGTTCTTAAAGAGAAGGCACTTGCAAGTGCCTGGCTCAACACATCCAAAGACTCTGTTGTGGGGAATGAGCAGAGATCAGCTGCCTTTTGGGATAGGGTTGCAGCATATTATGCTGCATGTCCTGCTGTCTCTAAGCTCACCATCCGAGAGGCAAATACTTGTAAGTAGAAATGGCAAAAAATGAATGAGCTTGTCATAAAATTTGCAGGCTGTTATGAGTTTGCCTCTCGGACTCCTCGCAGTGGAGAGACTGAAGATGACATTCTAGTGCTGGCCTACAAGCTTTACCATCAGGATCAAAAAAACAAATTCAGTCTTGAGCATGTCTGGAGAATCCTCAAGACTGATCAGAAATGGTGCAATTGGTGTGAGACAAAACTTCCTGCCAAGAAGAAAGCTAAACTTTCATTTGTAGAAGAAGAGAGTCTTCAAAGGCCTATAGGGGTGAAGGCAGCCAAGACTTTAGCCAAGTCCAAAGGTAAGGGAAAGAGTGAAGGAGCTGACGCTGGTTCTGTTGCTGAATTTCAGCTTTTGTGGGATGTGAAAGAGAAAGATTTGGCTTCCAAAGAGAGACTCTCCAAGCAGAAGCTACTTGACAGCCTTCTTGGAAGGTCTGATGGATTGAGTGAGATGGAAATTGAACTTAAGAACACTCTTATCAAAGAGTATTTGTCTGGAAGTAATGTGTTTGTTTCTGAGAGTGAATATTTTGGTCTTTAGGTATGTGTTGTTAGTTAAGTTGTTTTGTTTACTTAACATGTAGTATTATTTGATATTCTTTGCTTTTTTATGTGCAGGACCTCCTCTTGGAAGCTAGTGATGTCGGCAAGGAAAGGATTGAGAGTATATGTTGCTTTAATGTAGGGTTGTGTGACTTTATTCGGATGTACCTTGTTTTTTGCTTTATTCGGATGTACCGTCTATGGTCAGAGCTACTAGTTTTTTGTTTTTAGTAGCACAATGTATTGTCGGCAATGTTTTTGTGGTCAGAAGCCACTTGTTTTTACTTTCTATGGTCGATGCACAATGTATTATTGGTACAATTCTCTTATATATATGTCTTTGTCTTCTCATATTTCTCAATACAAATCCATTCAAAACGATTCTTCCTCTTCTCATATTTCTCATTACAATTCCTCTCAAAACAAGTCTTTGTTTTCATTTACAAACCACAAAACTCTTTTAATTGTTTTCCTTCTCAAACCCAATTCTCTTTTAATTGTTTTCCTTCTCAAACCCAATTCTCTTTTGAATTGTTTTCCTTCTCAAAACCCAAATCTCTTTTAAATCATTTTCCTTCTCAAAACCCAAATCTCTTTTAAATTGTTTCCTCTCTCTAACCCAAATCTCTTTTAATTTCTTTTACGTTTTGCTTCTTAAAAAAATAATGGCATCTCATTCTAATGGTGATGACACTTTTGATGATATTATAGAGGAAAGGTTTGAAAATTGTTTTGAAGATGGTTTAAATAATTACATTAGACGTGTAGCGGGGAAAAAAAGAAAAAAGGCTGCTAATATCGAGAGAGATCGAGAAGAAGAAAATATTCGATTATGGAACGATTACTTTTCGGATGACCCCGTTTACCATGATCGCATGTTCCGACGCCGATTTCGAATGACCAAGCCGTTGTTCCTTCGTATTGTTCAAAGTCTTTCTCAATTTCCATATTTCCAACAAAGGGAGGATGCTACTGGAAATCAAGGTCTATCTGCCCTACAAAAATGTACTGCCGCAATTAGGCGTCTGGCATATGGTCTTGCAAACGATGCGATGGACGAATACCTTCGCATGGGTGCAACCACTGTGAGCCAAGCACTAGAGAATTTTGTAGATGGCATAATAAATTTATTCTAAGATGAATATTTGAGGCGGCCTACACGTGAAGATTTCCAACGATTACTTCATTCTGGAAAGGAACGCAGATTTCCGGGAATGATAGGAAGCATTGATTGTATGCATTGGGAGTAGAAGAATTGTCGTACGGCTTGGAAATGGCAGTATTCACGCGGACATGGAAAACCCACTATCGTTTTAGAGGTTGTGGCATCACAAGATCTATGGATTTGACATGCTTTTTTTGGGGCTCTAGGTACGTGTAATGATATAAATATTCTTGACCGCTCACCGGTGTTTGATGATATATTAGAAGGTCGAGCTCCACGACTCAGGTACGAAGTCAATGGACATCAATACAAAATGGGTTATTACCTCACATATGTTATATATCCGAAGTGGGCAACATTCATCCAATCAATTTCCCGACCACAAGGACCGAAAGCATCATTATTTGCTAGTTGTCAAGAAGCAGTGAGAAAAGATGTCGAGCATGCTTTTGGAGTCTTGCAGGCTCGGTTTGCTATTGTTCGAAACCCAGGTCTGTTTTGGGATAAAGAGCGAATGGGCAAGATAATGAGAGCATGTATCATATTGCACAATATGATTGTAGAAGATGAACGAGACGAAGATACTCAGTTCGATTTATCTGATTTCGTAGAAGGCGAAGGAAGCGGAACTTCTCAAGTAGATAACTCTTTTTCTACAGAGACAGCTACAAATGTGAACAATTTGATGGCCAATCGAGCTCAAATACGTCATAAACAAACACATCGACAATTGAAAGAAGATTTGATTGAACATATTTGGCAAAAATGGGGTCAAGGTAATTGACTACAAGCGACTAAATTATTTTTATAATCATATTTTTTTAAGTTTTTTTGAATTAAGTATATTCTACGTTTTTTTTTTTGTAATATTACCTTTTGTAATTCTATATTTTTATATATTTATTTTTGATTTTGTAAACTTTTTTTTTTATGATACTTAAACCGGTATCACCAATGGAAACATATTTAGTAAGAGTATCATAAAAAATCTCAAACAATAAACAAATATTATAAATAATACTAAAAAATTCTTAATGATGATATTATAATTTCATCCTAAACATTATCTCTCTTTAATCTCTTCTTCCTCTCTTTCATCCTCTGTCGCTGCGACTCTTTTCCGGTGATTCCGGAGACGCCGGAGACGCTGGAAATAACAGCGGCAGCCTCTCAAGCTCATTTATAAAATAGCGACAGTCGCTGGGTGAATGGATCTTCAATCCTAAGTCTATTTAATCAGTTTCTGGCTTTCAATTTTTGTGTAGTCGTCGCAGTGACTGCAACTGTAAAAAGAACACGCCTATATCATAAAACGATGTCCCTCCAATGGAGGGAAGAAAGATAAATAAAGTATTAGTTATAGTCCTTTTTTTTTAATGCACATATACAAGAATGATATACATAATAGTGGCGGATCCAGGAATCTATACTATTAATTGGGAAGCACTCAAACATAAATAACTTTATAAAGTGTAAAGTGTTACAAAAATGCCATTGGTTTTAGTTTTTAAAGAAATTAATTAAAGATGCAATAGTAATCACAAAATAACATATTTAAATAAAAAATAATAAAATTCTTTAAAGTAATTATTAGTTTCCAAAAAATTAAACTCAATTTCTCTCTCTTATTAATTATGGACGAAAATTTAAATTTTTTTTCTAAAAAGTTGTTAACCAATGAGAATTGAAAAACTAAGATTTGATATCCAACTAAAATTTTATCTAAACAAATCCTAATAAACTATTCTATATCAAAAATAAAAAGAAAAATAATACCATTTAATTCAATATTAAAAACACTATAGTTTAAAAAAAATTTACCAATGGAGGATTTTAAGATTGAATTTAAAATTTTGTAAAAAAATTAAATACAAATATTTAAGACTCAGTTTTGTTATAATATTTTCACAAATTTTGAAATATAAAACAAAATTTTATTTCACAATTTCTAAAAAACGATATTGGGCATTCATTTAGAGCAAGTTTCGGAAATATCTAAACAATAGATTGTACATATTAATTTCGAAATATTTTGTGTTTTTTTTTCTTCTCAACCGGATCTTCCTTAAACCAATCCATAATATATTACACACAGTTTTCGAAATAATGTGAACTAATTATATATTTTGCATTCAAAATATATTTATAACTTTAACAACATACATATTAATCCGCTAAACTCATAGTATATATTGTAATATTGTATGGTATTTAAAGGTAAGTAAACAAGAATTCGGAACATAATTTTAATAGAATAAAATGGAAATAGAAATTACGAGACGAGATGGAAGGGGAACATATATTAAAAATCAAACTAAATACCCAACTGGTATGAGTTCGGGTTATGAGCACTATATAAAATAAATTTGTTTACACACATAACCATGTACATACGTTTTCAGTTACACATACTCTATTCATGACAGATATGGGACCGTAATATTTTTATTTTACGTGTACGTGACAGGTTATGGGACAAAGAATTTATGACAGATATCGGACGGGATATGTTTCCTGTTCCAAAATAGTTACGCCTTGCTAATATACATGAAATAACCCAAACTAAAACCGAATTCATATCTTATTTAACATATGTAATCAAACTGTTAGAACTGTTTTGATTAGTTAAGAAAATAAAAATGTAACACCATTTAACTTTTGCAACTAAATTAATCCGAATCTTAAAATATAATTATGCATTAACGCAACTGAATTTTTTGTTCATTACTCTAACTTTATAATATTTATATTATTACGAAGTTCACTAATACAACATAATATTTTATATTTTTAAAATCTATATAACAATTTCTATAAAAGTATTTCTACACGTACGTGAATCCAGATCTAATACACCAAAATATATATCATAAAACAACGAAGTAATCTATATTGAATTAAATTTTGTTAAAAAAAATTTAAAATATGAAACCCCGCACGTACGTGCGGGTCATGATCTAGTATAATTTGTATGGGGCACATACAAATTATATATATAACTAATCGTATTAAATTTCCATAATAAAAAGTTATACGATAATATATGTTTTACCTTTAGTAATGAAGATCAGCCCCCCTGTATACACCTAGAGAAGTAATGAAGAATAGCACTAGTAACTTTTTAAATACCTCTTTTCAAAATAGATGATTTAAGGTTTTGTATATAGATTTAAAAAAAAACAATTAAAACTAATTACTTTTCGATTGAAAATTGAAAATAAAACTCATATAATTTAAAACAAGTTTTTATTTTACTAAAAACATCATCTATTATGAAAGAGAGAAAATACTTATTTATGTGCATTAGAAAAATATTATGAAAGAGAGAAAATACTTATTTATGTGCATTAGAAAAATATTATGAAAGAGAGAAAATACTTATTTATGTGCATTAGAAAAATATTAATTTCAGTAATGCTACTACCTGCAAACATTACGTTCGTGGTCGGTTACGATTGTTGGGATTTGAAAACAATCAAGTAAACTATTTTGTACTGTTTCATGTCATTTGGAAACGTTTTAAATCAATATCCAAAATATGAATCTCGAACAACCTTCAACAACCATTTGAAACGAAAATAGTATATAGGTTTCGAAAATCTCAAATGTATGATATACAATGTGGAACAAGAAAAATTTGGTAGGCGATATATTCAGAGAAGCTTAGAATTCTGAATGCTCAAATATCTTCAATTAATGCTGGAGCGGGTGTAAATCTCGTAATTCATAAACTTAATATTTTCAACATAGAACCAATTGACAATGAGCAATAGTCATGTGTATGTTCGGAAAAATATTGAACCGAAACCAAACCGAGGAAGAGGTATTGAACTGAAACCTATTTACTTTTTTCGTTTCAAATGGTAGCTGAAGGTTGTTCGAGATTCCTATTTTGGATATTGATTTAAACTTCAGAACATAAAGAACTGGAACTGAGTTGATACCAAACTGAAATATTTCAGGTATCCGAATCGAACCATAATACGATTATATGTCCAAAAATATTAGTTATTTTTATACCGAATAATCAAAAATACCCAACTAATCAAAATTAGTTGAATAACAAAAGTAGAATCGAATGGACCTGAACCATAATAACCA